AAAAAAAAAAAAAAAAATTTGGATATGAGACTATTAGTCTCTTTTTGGGGTTGTTTCTCGGGCTAAAGATCAAGTATGGTAGAGTTTAACTGTTGTTAAAATCAAAAGCAAACAGATGTTTATCGAATGTTTATCGAATGTACAAATCAGTTTTGCATATTACGGTTGGAGGGAACTGAAGAGAGACAGGAAGTGGTTGGCGGATCATATTTTTTACGTCTATGTGCTCTTTGCGCAAGATGTTTTACCAGTCATCTGAAACCTACAAAGACATTCGACGAAAACAAATCTAGCAGGAGTTATTATTTCAAAATTAGAATTTATATTTATAAAAATCAAGGGATAAAATAAAGCTTTAGGTGAGATAGTTTATTTTGGTCATCGTTTTATTGAAAGGCGTCTTTATTTATTAAAGGTTTTTAAGCTTTTTAAACATTGAGATTTTTACAACCTTAGTAAGCTTTCAAAGGAAATAAAGATATTTAAGGATGCTTGATACTTGATTTCTTTAATACTTTATATTTTATTGAGAAGCACTGTACATTAAGCAGGCAGAGGAAATTTTAATGCTTTTTAAAATTTTGTTTTCATCAGGATTTATCAAAAATTAAGAGAAATGGGATGACCAGTGGAAGTTATTTTTTTATTCTGCCTTGTCTCACTTCAAAAGAAGAAAGTTATGTAAAACTGCGATGTTTTAAGCTTTAACTGCTTTTAATTTTCAAGATTATATCTAAATTTCTTTTTCTCACAGTATTCGAAACAATGTTTCACTTTTGCACTCTTTGTTTTTGGAACTATATAGAAAAAGTTTGTAATTTTAAGTTTTTGCTGAAACAGCTTTTATGTTACTGTGAAAAAGAATTTGAAGAAGTAACGAATCAGTTAGTTTGAAGAATATTACAAAGACCAAAAGGTGATGAAAATTTCTTATAAAAGTACTTTTTCTTAGCACGCAATGGTTTTATTTTCTAAACACTATTTTGCTTTGAAAAGATAAAAATGAATTCTAAATGAAAAAACTTCTAATGTACATGTAATCTTTCTGCAACAATGTTTAACGATTATCAACGGTCGTAGGAGAAGACTTTTTGAACTCAAAAGTTGATATCAGACTTCAACAATGCTTCATTGTTCAATTGTAAAGCAATTAAAATTACAGTCTTTTGTATTACGATTTTTTAAATGGAGCCGCTAAAAAAGCCGTAAATTAGATTTTAGACTGATTCCAGAAAAACGTTTCCAAACAAATCAATCTGGATACAATTTGGAGACCAATAAATGGTTGAAGAATGGCTGATTAATTTGCAGAAAAAACATTCTGATAATGCACTTATTTGAACAGATTTTAAAGAAAAAAGAACAAGTGAAAGGATTTTATTCAATTCAATTTTTTGATATGCGTAGATAAATGGTTTGCTTGCTAAATAATAACAGATAGAATCATAGACAATATTTGGAAGGTAAAAGCCAATACTAGTTTGAAAATCAACTAGTTAGGCTAGTCACACACCTGTTTGCAATAAATGCATTGTAGCTGGCATTTCGATTTGGTTTTGTTAACGCTGCTTAGAAAATATTTCACCAATATAACGCCGATTACAGATATGAAAGCTCATTCTCTTGACCAAACTATAGATGTCTATCAGAGAGCTAGACCAGGATAAAAGTTATTTTTTGAAAAATAAGAAAAACGGCAAGAAGTTTTTGTTTCTGAAATTAAAAACCACAAAAAATTGTCAGCGATGTACGGTTTTTGCTCGTTTCATTCGTCAATATAAAATTTTTTCATTTTAAGCTCTTCACTGATTTCAAAATCTTATTTAGACCTCTTTTTATTTCTGACAATATATAACGTTTATGACCACAGTTGCAGTTCAGTTTAATGTAAATTAAAAAAGTCTTTATAAACTGTTTTTTTTTAATTTTACGAGCATTTTCACAAAAAAGAGTTTAGTGATTTTAAAAAAAAATATAAACACAGAAATAAAATAAGTTTTATGGATAGGCACCTTATTTATATGATTGTTTTCTAGAGGTTTCTATCTGAAATTCTTTCAATAAGCTAACTGTCGATTTGTTTCAATAGTTGCGACAGCTTAAATTCCGCGAGAAAAAGAAAATTATACTTCTACAATTTCAGCTAAGTTTTATTCACGTATAAGTATTTGAATATCAGAGTTAAACAGTGCTTTTCAAAGTCTAATTATCAACAGAAAACAATTTATAAAAGACGATGTTGACATTTTTTTTGAACGTTAAATTTTGTTTAAATAAAACCTAGCTAATTTTTATTATATGGTCAATCAAGTGATATCACTTATATTTGTAAAAAAAACTGTTTATTTTAATAATTTTTCAAAAAATTATTTGTTAACTTGCAATACGTGTATAGTAATAACTCTTTTACAGGATTTTGAGGTGCAGAACTTTGTCTGTAACAATAATCTCAGTGAAACTTGCTATTCAGGATTCTGCTTCGATGCCATAAACGTTACTGATCCCACGGTTCGTTCTTTTTTCCAAGTAAAACAAAATTTCTCACTTACACTTATTTCAGCTTTATCACTAATTTAAATTTAGCAAAGTAAAGCTGATGAGTAGTATTACGAAGTAAACAGCACCACTTTTGAAGAATTGATTATTTTATTCATACATTTTCAAAATATTTACATTATATAAAATAACTCTTTCCTTTGCTAATTATTTATCTTCAGCGGTAAATGTGACAGAATGGGTAGTAGTTGCTGATCATGACAAGGTTTTTTTTTAGGGTTTTGTCAGAAGCGATTGTGATAAAGAAAAACTGTGCAGTGCTGCTGGTTGTTCCACAGTCGGACGTGAGGTAATTCATTAATCACTCTTGCGGCTGCGTTTGCTATTTTTAGATAGTGAGCTAAAACTTTGATTGAAACGATTGTTAAGTTAAACTGTTAGGAAATTATTTTTATTTAGCTTTATTCTCAAATTAAAAGATTACAGTCTATAATAGAAATCCTTTCACAGTAAATTTGATAAGCTGTGAACACTAATAACTGGCAGTTGCATGCCACATTGCAAAAGTAAGTCTCAAATAATTTTGTCATCCTACACTTGAAAACAGCTCCGATCATCTACTACCAACTCTATATGTCTTAATTTTTTTGCTAGGTTTTTTTATTCTAGCCTGTAGGTTTGATTTAATCTTTTCTTTTGAAACTCTTCGCTTATCTGCATTTGCTAACGGAAGTGATACTTAGATGTTTCTTTCTATTAACCAAGTTTGTTACTGAAATTGATAAATAAATATCATGTTACTTATGAAAGATTAATTAAATTTTGATATTCGTTTTTTTTTAGTTTGTTTGTTGCTGTAAAACATCTGAATGCAATGGTCAAGATATAATGTATATGAAGAAAAGACTTGAGGCTTATACAAATGGGCTAGAAGACATAAGGCCACTGAATGAAGCGAAAGCAGCAAGCAGTACAGATTACCCAGAGGAAACTGTGACGAAGCCCTACTTTTTTTCAACAGGCGACCTTACGTCTACGTCTCCTACTAAAAACGATATCGAAGAGGAAAAGTTAATGGCGGTTACTGAGATCTTATCAACTGTCATAACTGAGTACACAACAGCTGTTTCGGAAATTGAGGAGACCCTCAGTGTTCCTTACCACCTCAGCATTGATAGGCAAGATTCAGACAAAACTTTTCACGAGAGCCAATTGAAGACAAGTGTCGATAACGATGCTGATATAGAGTCAGTAAGTGAAAAAGTCAAGATGAGGGTGATTTCAAATGGCAGCGAATTATTTAAAGATACAAATGGTGAAAATATACTTATGCAGGTAAACACAGTTGACAATAATTACCACGAAAATGAAACTTTAACAGACAGGTTTCAAGAAGAAACTTCTGTTATCACAACGTCTTCACCGCTTACAGGTGATCTAAGACAGACTGTTGAAAGATCAGTGGAAGAAAAAACAACAAACAGTTTCTTAATTAAAAAGGATGAATACGAAGAAAGTTTCAAAAGCTCTTCAAGATTTGATGAAAATGTAGTTGAAAACACTTTTTCAAAGGAAGTCTTTCCCGTTACGACAGGTTATCTAACAACAACTACAGAAGCATTTTACTCACCTGAATTAGGTTCAGAATTAGCAGCAGATTCTGCTCCCTCAACATCTTCTAACACTTTTTCTAAAGAGAGTTTGGAAGGTACATACTTCTCTGCCGACTCTAATGAGCAGAATTATTTCAAGGATAAGAACGAGGTTACTATTGTGAATCAAGAATCATTTGCAACCAACGCCAATTACGTCTCGTCTTTAAGTACAGCACCAGCACTTGAACGCGTTGATTCGCTTTCTCCACATGCTTTAACGAGGTCCACTGAGCCTCCAAATAAAAAGGTGAATGTCACACCAAGCTCAGAGGTAGCTGTCAGTAACAATCAAGAAAACAAACTGTCAAACTCTCATTCTCGCCACGGTCATGTTCTACCACCCGATTCTCCTGTCCTCTCCATTAATAATGCAAAACCAAAAGGAGACGAGGATGAATTAAACACTGAACAAATTTCAACGAGAGCATCGCTGTTTCCATGGTGGCTATTCTTGGTTATGGGTATCCTGGTGGTAAGTATTATCGCTATTGCCGGATACAGTTTCTCTAAAGCAAGGTAAATGATTTTTACAATATAATTCAAGTTTCTTAGACATTTGTAAATTCTTCATTTTTGTGATTTAAATTTTAATTCAAGGAGGTAAATCATATAATTTTTTCTGTTAAATAAGGTCTTGAATTCTCTATTCATAAACACTTCTTTACAAAATCGAAAAAAATTTATTGTGAACAAGTGCAGAGTAATGCACAGAAAAAGTCTAATATACAGTATCAAGTGATTAAAGTAACCCAAAAAGTAGTAAAAAATAAAGTAAGAAGATAATGCAGAACTTTAAGTCAGAAGGTGATCGAAAAAGACTAAAAAGGTGTAGACTATACCTGTTCAGATAACCTCAAGCTAAACATGCAAGTTTTACGAAGCTGCCATGCTACTCCGCAAAACTGCTAGTGCAGCTTCAGTGTTTTTCAATATTAAGCGTAGGAAATGCTGAATAATACTGGATAAGTTTGCGCTTTTAGTACCCAAAATACTGACTGACCTTTTCAAATTGTTCCGTACTACATATTATAATAAGTGTTAGTTTTCTATTAAACCGGTGATACAGTTTTATTTGTACAGAAAGATTTGCGTTTCTTAGATAAAACGACGCATAATTCATGATTCGCTAAGTCAAAAGCTAATTTTTTTAAATAGAACAACTAGAAAAGCTGAACGCACATTATTATCACTTTTCATACAATGAAGCTCACCAAATTTACATGTCAGTTTTTAAAAATGTGCAACCGTTTTCAGATTGATGATAGAGGTTTCAAACAGAAGATGTTGCAGCAATACTGTAGAGCACTATAATGACGTTTTTTATTTCAAAAAAGAACCAGAATTTTGAAAGCTAGCTTTAAATTTTACAGTGTTTTATAGAATTTAGTTAAACCGTTTTCAATGACAAGTATTTGGCACTACTGTATTTGTCACAAAAATGTTTCAGTGCTTACACTTGACTTACAAAAAAAACCTTTTTTACAGTAACTGTTAATCAAAAAGTTTGTGAATTACAGGTCTCGAAACGTTACACTCCAAATGCCTACTCAGGAAATGTCATTGCTTAAGAAATCTGGAGACGATTCTGTCAAGCGTCGTAGCGAAGCTTAACCCAGAATTTTTAGGCTATGTCTGTCTGTTCTTTCCGGGCCTATCCAGCAGCTGTCAAACGTATGCTGCTTATATAAAAATATTTTCTACCTGTACTGAGAACTAAATCTGTTGCTTAGAAAGCTCTAATCGTTAATCCTAGAAAAACCAGTCGATCTTGCAGATGCTACAGTTCTCAAAAGGTAGTAAAAAAATTTGGTTATAAGTTGCTTTTGTTATTCAACTCGTCTTCTCAGCGATTTGGCAGATATGGTTTTAAGGTGTTTTTTAACTGTTGTTGAAGGCTTCAAAATGAACACTCTTTTGACTTTGATTTATGGCATTGTGAGCGACATTGTTATCTAATTTGTATACCATTAGTTTATGAGTAGTTTCTCATTTGTTTCTGAAACATCTTCGACGTCTTGAGCGATCTACAGTGGCTTGTTAAAGACACTTAAACTGAGTGCTTGCATAAAGATCTGTTTGTTTTACTGTTTCCTAACTGTTGTTCATCCCCAAACTGTTTGATTATTGCCGAAGAGTACAACGGCTTGGACTGTGTGCGGTGTAGAGCAAAACTAAATCGACATAATTGGTATTTGCGAATGAAAATGTGCTCTACAGTTCAAGCAAACTCGCTTTAGAGCTTGATTTATCGTCTTAAAATTATTTGTTTCAGAAGCTATTTGAAGCTGTAAGATGTTTCAGATTGTAAAGTGCATTTCTCTCATACTTCTCGATTCGAAATGGGTTGGGTTTCGGGTCCTCTAACCTAAGAGTGCCTAATTTATTTTAAAAATTTTAAGTTTCAGCTTTTTTTGTTTAAATTGTGCTATTTTTTTGTACGAGGTTTTTATAAACATGCTCTTTAAAATACTCTTCGATCTCATTAACCTTTCCGACAAAAGTACCAAGCTTATTTCTTTAGCATTTCTTAACGTTACTATGTTTTAAATACTAGTTAATTGTAGAAGTCGAGCTTTCGTAACACAAGCCATTTGTTTAGGGTGTCTCAGTAATTAACACAATTGTTCAAAACAGGCAAAAGCCAGAATGAAAAATGAAGAAAAAATAAAGTGTCTGGCCTATTAACTATAAAATCATCGTTGAGAAATTTAAAAAGATACTTTTGTCTGTTTTGAGTTGCTTACAGTAAAACTGCTAGTAATGTATTGCTATACTGTTGTAATGAAATAAAATAGGGGTGTTAATGTCACTGATATGGTATTATTGTAAAACAACAATTACTTTTCTGAATTTTCAGTTATCAACAGAACTTAGTAAGACAATGATAAAAAACTGTCCCAGCGATGTTAAACCATTGCCCTAGTCACAGCACTTTTCTAATTTCGTTCTGCTTATTGAACTTGTTGAGCACTTAAAGAAAAATAAGTCGGCTTGCATTACTTTCTTTATTTTATATTCTCAGAATCAGAGTTTGATTGATAATGCTCTGCAACTAGCTGAAGTGTTAAAAACAGGGCAAAATATTTTTACTTGAATGCCAATGCCAAAACTGATTGTTACTAGGTAAAGTTTGGTAAAAAAGTATTTTTAGATAACAAATTAAGTCAATTAAAAAAAAAAAGTAAAAAATTCTTACTAAATTTATTTTGTAATTCCAGTAATGAATAAAGTGTTGTTAAAATTAGGCGTTGAATGAAAAGCAGTTATTTTTAATAGGCAAAAAAAGCTGTGGCTATCAAAGAAAACAAACTAACAGCTATTTAGACCATGATTTTAACAAGGACTTCTGCCATAAACAAATTGTTGTTGACAAAAAGTAAGAATATGAAGCGATGAAATGCAATCAGTAAAACAAATGAAGATGAGAATTCCTGTTAAACGATTAAGAAGAGTTGAACGATTATGCGTTTGAAATAATCATAATCTTCCACTTCCTAACGACAAATCTATAAAACTACTCTTCATTGTCGCTCCTCAAACGTTATACATGCGTGATAGACAGTTCTGAATATAAATGAGATATCTAAGTTATTCGGTTTATTGTCAGCAGTTTTCAAATGAACGCAGTGTAGAATCAGACTCGCAAATCTACACGTTATTGTTTCATCTGCAGTCAAAAATGCTTAAGAAGGGGTTTGGCATATAGTTAATATTTAGCAAGTAGCCATAAGCTGAACTGCTTCATATCATTAAAAAGGTCTTGTCAGAGTTGCAAACGTTACTTCTTTTGACTTTAAAATTATCGCTTCATATTGCCTTCAAATCACATTTCTCTTATTTTGTGTAAAATTTTATCCTTGATACGAAACATTAATTTATAAAGAAGTGCAAATTATAAGCAAAATATTTTTTTACTCGATTTGACAGTTCAACTCAATAGTAATTTGAAAAATGAAAAAGGTTTGTTTAGAAAATTTTGATAGCTTTTGTGCTTTGCTTATTGTAAACCAAGTTCAAATGCCATCTCCAAGTTCTGCTCTTAAATACACTCTGTTAACAAAAGTATAATACTGCAAACATTTTAGAATCTGATTTTTTCTGTTTTCTCACAAGTGTGTTGCAGTGCTGTAAGCCATCTTTTTAGAACAATAAGTTAACAGACAGCATAACTTCTTCAAAAATTATGACAGAAGATTTTGATCATTAAGAGTTTACTTACAACAAACCATAACTAATTTTCTTTGTTGAAGCTAGCGCCTAAGAGAATACTCTATTGAATTGTTTATAAACCTGAATAAAACAGCATTTTTAGACAATTCTTCCAATTTCTGTTAAAATCCCATTTTAACATGAAAGATAAAAAAAGTTTAGAGTATTATAGCATGCATGATTTGTGCTATTCACGACAGCGTTTTTGAACATCTTGACGTGTTATTAAAGACTGTTTAGCTTATAATGATAAGTTGATCATGAAAAATACTAAAATTTAGCAACATCACAATCAAGCAATTGAGGGTCATTGTTGGGTGAACACTTTATTCGCAATTTCTCCCCATCAACAAAACGGTAAGTGATCACAAAAGTGCAAAATGCATACAACAGTTTCTTCGGTCAGTAATTCATCAAACATGAAGAAATTTTATTTGAAGCACTTCAAAGCAATTTTTTACCAGTTCAATAAAAAAGTAAAACGAAATTTTTTTCTGGCAAAACATAAATTTTTGCTGATTACTGTTGACTAAAAGAATAACGTTTTTTTTAAAACAAACTTTATAAATAGCGCCACGACTGCGACGAGATCAGTGGTTCATTGTTCAATGATTGATCTGTCTTATTTTGGAATCTCTAAAAAAATCTTGCCAATTATGGCACAACGAAGGTAAACGTGTGCAAAACAGAAATTTGTTTGAAAAAGTCCTCCTAAAAAATGTTACTTAGTCTTTTAAAACATTTATTTGTTCTATTTGAAGACAGTCTTACATAAATTGAAAACGGTTTATTTGTGTAGAAAAATTGGAAAAAACCCAAGTTTAGATTTCTGTATTTTTAAATCGTTTGCTCTGTAAAATTTTTAGTTAGTATGTCACTGATGATAAAATTACCATTATCACTTGCTATTCGCTGCAGATGCTAATGGCCTTAAAAAGTTCATTCTAAAAAGGACAGTTAACAAACGAGAATTTTACCGAC